CAGTCCCATGACAATTTTGTTCTGACTGCCATCACTGCTCTCAATGTCGTCATACGTATGGATCTTACCATGAAGCACACCTTTAACATTCGTTCCTTTTTCACTTCTGCTGGATCTAAAGCTCTTGGACTTGGCTTCGAACTTTGGCAAGGGCTATTTCAATCTGTCCGACCAGGGATGGGCCGGATGCTTATTAATGTCGACCTATCAACAGGTTTGATGTACCGTTCCGGGCCTCTTATTGACTTGTGCTTGGAATTCCTCGAATGGGATAGGAACATAACAAATGTAAAGTTGCTATTTCCGAAGCAAGGGGATCGAGGATCAGGTATATCAGACTCTGAACGGAGAGGCTTATCGAGGTTTTTGCACGGGGTGAAGGTGACAATCAACTCGACACTTCCAGGGGTTGGAGATATTCCGAGAGTGATCAAGAAATTGGGTGACAAAGTTGCAAGCCAAGCTCAATTTCAACTTAGGGAGGGAGGGATGGTTACTGTAGCGGAGCATTTCAAGAGAGCGAGGAATGCAAACTTGCAATTCCCGAATATTTTATGTGTCGAGGTCAGTGCTTATTCAACAGAACTTTGCTTGAGTGTTCACGGCTTTGTAGGTTGGTAATGGTGCACTTATACCGCTAGAACTCTGCACCGTCGTACCGGGTCAGATTGCGCGCAAGCAAATCCCATCTTCAAAGACCAAAGATGTTGTCCAGTTTTCAACAAAGAAACCTGTCGAGCGTCTGGCAAAAATTGTGGATGGTGTTCAGAATGTGAGTAGAGGGTTTCAATGAAGCTGACTTTTTGATCTTGATTCTGCCATAGACATTGGCTTATGGACAGTCAGAATATGTGCGGCAGTTTGGCATCAGGGTTCAGCCTGATGCTCTAGTCGTGGATGCTCGTATTCTTCCGGCCCCAACAATGAAATATGCTCGTGTTGCCGGTGGGCCGCAATCTAGTTTGGTAAGTACTCGAGCAAAGATGGACCTTCCTCTAGACTGATTAACTTTCACAGCTCCCTAAAAACGGTGCCTGGAATATGTGAGTTACCTTATCAGCCAATTTAGAATTTTCGTTGACCCTCGACTCGAAGGTTGGGCAAGCAGTTCATCCTACCTGCTCATATCAAACAATCTTTTGTCGTCGTCTTTGAACAACAGCGCCGCTTTAACGAACGTCATGGAAAGGAAATATTAAAGGGTCTATTTGATGCGTGCAAAAATGCAGGTAAGATTTTTTCCGTTTTGAGATCAACTAGTCGGTATTCAACGAAGTTTCTAGGGATGAAGGTCGAAAACGAAAATCCTCCCATTCGCTATATGAACGCGCAGTCTAAGATCGTTGAAGTGCGTTGCCGATCCTCGGTCGTTACAAGAAATTGATTGATCTCGCGTTCTAGAATCTCAAGGCAGAAGGCCGTCTGGTCAGGGAACGTCTCAAGGCTCAAGGGATTCCACCTGATAATCTCAATCTTGTCATTATAATTCTACCTGAAGGCGGCCACGATGATATATACTCTGCTGTCAAATTGTAAGTCGTGTTTTTTTATTCATCATCGAATGTCTGCACGTTTAAACAGCTTCGGCGATGTTTCGGTGGGCGTTGCGACTCAATGCATGCGGGCGTCCAAATGCCTAGGAGCCAAAGCTCAGTACTATGCCAACATCGCTCTCAAGTGAGTTTCTCCTTCCTCATCACTTGTTGTCACCAACATTCTTTAGAATCAACGTCAAGCTTGGAGGCATTAATACCATTCCCGACTCCCCCTCGATCAACACTCTTCTGGATCAGCGAAAACTCACCGTCGTCATGGGTGCCGATGTCATCCATCCCGCGCCCGGCGCTGAGGGTCGTCCGTCCTATGCGGCCGTTGTAGGAAGCATCGATCCGCACTTGGCCAAGTACACTGCTGTGAGCCAGGTACAAACATCGCGTCAAGAGATTATTAGTGGGCTCGATGAGATGACCAAGGTGGGTCTTGGCTCGAAGAACGATGCTTTGGAATCGTTGTTGACATTGGTATAGAAAGTCCTACAAGGGAATAAGGAACATCAGGTTAGGGTCGAGCACAGATCAACAGCTCGAGCTCCAGATTCTATTCTTGTTTATAGAGGTGGGCAACTATTCTATCTTTGTTGTGTGAATTTCTCTAACATCTGTAATGCAGACGGGGTCTCAGAGGGACAATTCAAGGCGGTGCTTGATTCTGGTGAGCTTGGTCTTTCATGACAAGAAGATTATCATGACTAATGGGTTGATAGAACTTCCCTTGATTAAAAGTATTCATTTCCCCGTAAAATTAGTCGGAGATGCTCTCTAATATTCTTTTTCCTTGCTAGAGGCCTGTAAGGAAATGAATATCAACCCCAAGATCACTCTCATCGTTGTAGGAAAACGACATCACATTCGGTCAGTTGTTTGCGTTCCATCGCTTTCAAATGCTCAAATCTCTCTAGTTTCTTCCCCATGTCGGATAAACAGGGCGATAACAGTGGGAATTGCCCCGCAGGAACCGTGGTAGATACAGTCGTAGCTCATCCCACGGAATTCGACTTTTACCTGCAAAGTCACGGTGGTCTGTTGGGTACTAGCCGTTCGGCTCATTATTCGGTGCGTCACTTTAAATTTTGAGAATTGGAACTGTTACTGAGATTGAGCGTACTTCAGGTGCTGTACGATGTACGTGGATTATTTCTATTGCTGTGACACGATAGCTCATCGTATTTTAGGAAAACAATTTCAGCGCCGATGCACTGCAATCCTTATCCTTTGCTCTCTGCCACGTCTATGCCCGCTCGACGCGATCGGTTTCTATTCCTGCACCTGTCTACTGTAAGCATGTTTCTACAATATTTCGTCCATTCATTCAACTTTACATCTAATTTGCACTGCAGACGCCGATATAGTTTGCTCGCGCGCCAGGAATCATTACGATCCCGACTCTGATTTGTTCAACTCGGAATCCGGCAGCTCCATTACGTCGAATGAGCCGGATTCGTTGCAGCAACATAGAGATCAATTTAAGAGCGTCAATGCCAGATTGCAAGCTACGATGTATTTCTCGGTTCGTAGATCCCTCCCTCTTAGTCTTCGTGCGTCGCTAACGGTGAAAATGAATAGTGATGTGCCATAATATACATGAGCATAATGGATGTAATATCTAGTGTATGAAGTATGCCATATTGTCGGAATTTTCTAAAGTCTAGATCATGTACCTTAACGAATCGCAACGTCTCTAAAGTGGCTTTGTAAAGTTGTGAACAGCTCCCAATTAACTGCGGGAACTACCGACTCTGGGTCCCGTTTGTCCCCCGTGAGTAAATATGAAGGTGGTAACCCCCACCAAGACGGTGTTGTGGTCGATATTTCCCTAACTGTACATGCCGCACCGTGATGTCCTTCTTGATAAATCCTTATCCATTCTGCAGTACACCATGGCATCGGACCATCTTGACCGATAGGTAGACGGAGCTCTGAACCAGAATTTTTGAATTTGTAATTCTTTGATTCGAGATAGAGGAGGATCTTTAGAGATGGATCGACTTGAGGGTTAACCGTCGGTGGCCATGAGAACGAAGAGAGCTGTGATAACTTTGCAGATACCCGTTGGAGAGCAATATTCTCTTTCGTCAATTGTCCGGACGGTTTGGATGCGCAAAGCTCGGGAAATGCAAACTTGAACACGTCTGAAGAGGGACGAAGCTTGACCGCGGACATTTCAAGTTCCAACTTGTCGCGATCGCCAGTGCGCTCCATGTCACCGATCCACTGGAATGGGACGCCTTTTGGAAAGATCCAATTCAGCCTGTCCATCAAGCTCAACACGCCGTCCGTGAACAGCAAGATTTCCTCCATTCCATGTACGACTGCAAGGATCTTTTTCTTCGGCAAATACAAAGTACCCCTATCCAGTAAAAACTTCATAATATCGGAATGCAGGAAGACTCTGCAGTAAAAGACCAGAATACGAAACTTGGTGGCTGCCAGTTCATCCAATCTCTTCTTCCAGTCCGTGTCCGGAACACGTTCAGCACTCCCTTCTCGACAAAACGGAAGCTGAGTCAAGTTTGATATCATTTTCACGAGTAATAGAGTGAATTGATACACCGAGACAACGACGTCCGAATCATTTGGTACTAGTAGGGCATAATCGTCACCAGCACGAGGAAAAACTCTCCGAATTGCACCCCTGCCACCAAGCCCCGCCGAGCCCAATGGGTGAGTAAAAGCAGCGCGAACGGTGTAAATTTGGACGACGCGAGACCATTCGACTTGTTCCATCGCCGTTCTCAATGACGAGATTTTCGAGTTTAATGAAGGCCCGATGGTCCCAACGAGGAATGGAAGCACGCGAGTTGTGAGAGCAATCTCTCTGGAATTGTAGTCCCTGTTCGATTTCAAGAGCTCGAAGAGTTTCACAGTGCGAGAGATATCATTGCATGAGATTATGCCGAGCTTTGCGAGGATGATCACTGGCTTCTGATCCCTGCGAAGAGATACGGCATAACGATCTCGAGGAGTAGGGGACAGGCATGCCGCAAGGGTATCGAGTAGGATGAGTAGTTCCTTTTCATGGGAAACAGGTAGCCCTCGACTGTTTGTTACGTGTTTCGGTAAAAGAATGTGCTTTGAAGAGGAAAGCGTGGAAACAGACGTTGGATGAAGCAGTTCTAGATATTTCAGAGCCACGAGTGTACTAGACACGGTGCTCTGAAGGCTGCTGTCAGAGTCGGACTGAGTGAGAGGGGAGGGCGGAGCCATAGGGATGGGTTCGAGTGAAGAGAAAGACTTGGTAGACAAACTGTTTAAGTATTATTGCAGTGATGGTCAAAGTGGCATTGGTGGCACGTTGCTATTGTTCGCTACGAGTCAAAGCGCTGCTTGCATTGTACAGTTGGCATGTACGATTTGGTTCATGCCCGCAACTATAAAAGGGAGGATGGCCAGTGGTTACGATAGAATGAATTGACCATAAAGAAAACAAAAAAGGGATATCCTAGCCCACCGCGAGGGTCGAACTCGCAGCCTTCAGATTGCCTTGCCTTAAAAGTCTGACGCTCTATCCGATTGAGCTAGGCGGGCAACATGAGTATAGGTTAGTCCTGCTATCTGAAGAGTTCGAGTGCCTTTGTTTTGAACGAACGTAATGCAATACTGCATAGCGAAAGAATGTATCCCACTATTAAATATTCATAACTCCATCTTAATTTTTTTCTAGGTCGTAACCAAGTAAGGCAACGTGAAAAGTGACTACAGGACATATTTAAAGAAACTTAAAACGGAACTTAAAACAGCTGAGATTCGATAATGGTACTAATTCACCAGCTTTCCAAGCTCAGGTTACAGCCATTATCAATGATCCTGTGTATGGTTTCCCTATCATTCACCAGTCAGAGATTCATAACAAAAGCAAAAAGAGAAATAGAAAAAGAAAAAGAAAGCTCACGTTGATAATATAATAGACATTGCCCTGAACCGGACCGTTTTGGAGAACATTAAATTGATCTCTACCAACACTGTTGAAAGTCGAGCGAGAAACATTGGAATTTCTCATGGAGGACGCCAGAGTGATTTCCAACTCTTGTGTAACTGGGGAGGGCGCCGGGCGAGTCGAAGATTCAGGGTTACTGTCGGCAGCTCCTGGACTAATAGCAAGCTGGCTTTGGGTGGAAGCAGACAGAGTGGAAGGGGATGGGAATGATGGTTTTGCGGTATGACCATTAACGGAACTTAGAGGCGTACTTTTAGGCTAAAGATCGAAGAGTCAGACTTTCACAGACCGGGAAGTGACATCTCAGCTCACCGCAGCGCTGGGAAGAACTTCACGACAATTAGAGATGATTTCCATACCGATTCGAGTACTTTCGATCTGTACAAGGATCAAAAAGTAGTAAATGGACTTGACGAGCCCACTCACAGTGAGACTGCGGAGTTTGTTATGAAACTTTTTCTTGTACTTTTGAATTTTCATTAGATCCAACTTGTAGAGGAGGTTCCCAGAGATTCGATTCCGAGCGTTGTGTACAATAATAAAACCTTTCACTTCTTCTAGAAAGCTGCAGATAATTTCAGTCTGTTGCAGAGATGATCTCATATCAGAGAGCATACGAAGGTAGAGAACGGTAGTTGGCGGTGAATGCCTCATCTTCAAAAAGAAAGCGCTCTGTGTAGCGCTCATGCTGCTTTTTAGCATGAGAGATGAGCGTTTCAGAATCAACGGCCAATTCCTCGAGATGTTTCTTGTGCCTGGGCGACTCCTAGTACAATAAGCAGAAGTATGAGTTGAGTACCAAACACTTGGCCATCATCCATTTAAATGGCCCTCACCAGAATCCTGATCTGGAGATCCTCGACGATGGCTTTAGATTTTTCAAGGTATCCGCATCGTTGTGTCATTGCGAAATTAGGAGAAGGTTTCAGGAGAGCAGTCCACGGCTGAACTGAGTAGATGAGTCGGTGAGAGAGCAAGGGAACCTCTATATAAGATGCTGGCAGTTAGGGTTGAAGATATTGCTGGCCGTCTTGACCACCGACTCGGAGGCTCACATTTCCTTTCCCACCTACCCCATAATCCCCTGCATAGGTCTAGCGCCTAAATCGGCTTAGCATCGATGTTTATGGACGCTCGGCGATTCTGGGATAGTTGTGAAGGCTGGCGGCTAGTGTTGCTCTAAGCCAAGGTCAAGCGTGCCTTCAACTCGGAAAGAGTCGGACTTGAGGTGCATTGAGCCATGATCTCCTCAAGGTCCCTCGAGCGGCCACCGGAAATGGGAATAGCCCTCGTCACATTGTCTGTAGCTCATGTAACGTAGTACCACTCAATTTGACAAGTTACGACCCTCCAAAAGCTTACGACAAAATGCCTGCTCCGAGTCCTGCGCATTAACGCGATGTGAATACCGACAACAATGCACGATTGTCGACAGACTCGGAGAAGTGACTGGTCACTGGCTATACCGGTGACCTCATGCCAGTGACAGAAAGAAGAAAGTGTTGCATCAAGTCTCATCAAGCCCCATCAACCGGCCGACCCTTCGGTTTCCGTATTGGGACCTCAAGGCACCTCAAGTTCCGAGCCAGCTGGGCTTAGAGCAACACTACTGGCGGCTTCCTTTTATGGAGTTCGGCAATTGTGGGATCAGTGAAGAATACATTGGCGGCAAAAAAACCCGTGCAGCTTCCTTCTAACGAGATTGTCTAGAAACCCCAAGCAACGTTGACATTTGGACCCAGATAACATGCCCCAAAAAATTGGAATTCATCACTGTTGTGATGCAGTTTTCTAGTGTACTTTTACAGGCCGCCGATATGCATCATAGCTATAACTGTAAGTAGAACCTAACCCGAGATGTAGACACAAGTAAGCCGCGGCTCTTCCTTCCCAGAACCATCATCAAGCACCTGCAAGATACCTTTCATCTGGACAACGCTCTGAGCAAACATGTCTTCATTATCTAATTCCATCGGGACTTGTCCAAATTCCAAGTAACCGTCGTATCGGTCTGAAAACTTGGACTCGGAATGTGTCATGCAATCACTGTTGATAGGAATACCGTTGAGTCTGATTTCCGGTGCAGCAGATATAGGTTCCATATCGAAATGAAAATCGGAAAGCGACACACGTCGAGGGCAAAGTTGGGATTCGCGACTGGGTAGTGAAGGCAAGGGGGAGTAAGATTCCAAATGAACGATGTGGTTTTCCTGATCCCTCTGGATAGCCTTAGATGCATTTTTGATCATCGCGCAAAACCTCTTCTCGATCCGTCTTCCAACCGTCCAGTTTACGGCGTCGATATCATTCCAAGGTCCTTTAAAAATCGACGAAGGAACCGCCCAATCTTTCGATATCTTGTTCTCCAGGTAAGTGACGACGAATCTTAGTTTCCCACCGTTGGACCTCATCCATGTATTTATCCACTCTGCACAGCACCAACAAACGGATGAGTCTTTTCCAATTGGGATAGATATGCAAGGGTCTGCGAATTCGGGAAGGCCACTCGTAATGAAGTGAAGAAGGATTTTGAGTTCTGGGTGAATTTGGAGAATAGATTGATACGCGGGAGGGTCGGAGAGATGGGGATATCTGGAGAGAATGTTGGATTTTTGGGTATGCAGGGTCACTTCGCGTGTTATTTGCTGGAATGCGCGCTCGAGGAGATCATGGATGGTAGATATTGTTTGGCCGTGATCGCCATTAACTCCAACACTTTCGATCCATTCGTACGACACCGAACCATCTGGGAAAAACTTCCTCGCATTACTGACCAGCCTCCGCACACCATACACAAACTGACAAATCTTCTTCAATTTGCGTTGCAACTCGATCGCTTCGACACGCATACTGGGATCTAAAAATATAGAATCCTCCGACGTGAGGAATCCCATAAACTTAGACTTTCGAAGGACCTTGCAATAATGCGCAAGGTTATGAAACACCTGGATTCGATACTTCTCTTTCGCGCAAACTGTTTGCCCTCCCTGCTCCAATACCGTCTCCGGCCCATCCATATTCCTCAATTGCTCCGATCCACCTGCCAAATCCGAGGACTGACAAGTTTCGATGATATCCTCCACAAGCATATGCACCATGTCCTTGACCGAAATCGTTTTTCCCTTCTTTTTCATCCTCTTCCTATACTCTTCAGATCCCGGGAAAAAACCTGAAATAGTCCCGCACTCAAATCCTCTTTCCCAAGAAAACCTCCGTATGGCTAGTTCCCAATTGTATGAGCACATTGAACTGTGTAGTTGTTGGATGGATTTATGCATAGCGGCTCGACATCGACGAATGAGATGCGGAAAGACAAAGTCCCTCACGTATACTGTGGAGGTCATCTCCCAGCTCTTGCGGCTTGTAATGAGGGCCGACAACTCCTTGACGGCTTTGTCATCGGCGACGGTAATTTTACTGGTTTTTGCTATGAGGAAGGAGAGTCGCTGGTTCGTGTTCGCAGATACAGCATATGATTCGCCCGGAGTACCTGTAGACAGGCAAGTAGCAATAGTATCGAGTGTCCGAAGCCATTTCTCTTCGTTTGGTACTGGACCGGCGCCTGTGTAAGGAACGAACTGTAGGTTCGATTGGGAATAATCTGGGCCAGAGTCGAGAGTGGGATCATTCTGAAGAACATGAAGGGCTCCGAGCATGCCGGTGAGCTCTGACTGAGATGGTTTCAAGTCTCTGAGGGTGGGGGTCATGGTGGTAAGACTCCAAGTGGGCACCGCGAGAAGGCATAGGGGCTGTACTGTCAGTATGGTGTCGAAAATTTCTCGATCTCTCCACATCGTATTATACCTCCTCTAAATGTTTGCGATCATTCTTTAATTTTGAATGACAAGGCACAACAAGAAAAATCGCTTGAAGGGATGCTCTGCGATAACTCGGGAAAAAAGAAAAGGCGCTCTCAAGAACTAGGGCCTTGTTTTTGCTATAGCATGCTGAGGAAAGGTACTGATAATACGAGGCCGTTACAGGCAAGATCGAACTGTTTTGGGGGTTTCGGACGTCATGCTGGTAATTAATCCTTATTCTTGAATGGATTGGCAGGTAATCCACAACGGACTTGAAGGCCGGAGCTAACCTTCAGACATCCAATTTCGCACGACACCTTCCACAAGAATTATGACCACAACTGGGGAAGAAGCGTTGGATTCTTCGAATCATACGTCCAACATCAGACGCGTACGGTCGCGTCTCGACGTGTTGCACAACACGGTCACATGTCGTTAGGATTTCCATCCTTCTCCCGCGGCTTGGAATTTGAAGCGGCATGCGGTAATGGCTCTTAACAAGAGTAACTTCCTATTAGCTGAGGACATATCAGGCCGATGACATCGTTGTAAGTCTTTTTGTCTGCCCGGAACCGCGAGCGGCAGATTGTCGCCTGGGTTGTGAATAGATAGTGTGTGGTCGAGGAAAACGAGCATGTCATTTACTCGTCCCCAGCCAGTAGCAATATAGGAGAACATGAAGCCTCCGTGTGGTGTCCTAAAAATCCCTCAAATCCAATGACGCGGCACTTTGCTTGGCATTTCTCGTCTCTGTAAAACAAAAAATAGACGGAAATTTCACGTTAAAAGAC